CAATTTCAACTTTAGATAATGCAGAAGGAATATCCATGGTGCAGAATAACAATAAAATGGTTCATTATTAGATATTGAATTGAAAGAACAAAAAACTGGGTTGCTAAAGCGTCAAAAAAAGTTCGAAGTCTCTGAGGCAGAGATTATAGAATTACAAAACTACAAGCTCGGAGGTTTGTAAATTTTAAATATCTTGAATTTATTTGATAATAGATATGTAGAATTGTCTTTGTGTTACTTGCAATTGCAATTAAATATCTGGTATTAAAATTCTATTATTATAACATAACTGAAAAAAAATTTAAATTAACATCCAAAATCGATACCACGAAAAAACAAAAATCGAGTTTGTAAATTAATAATTAATGACTCAATTATATATGTTTCAAGGATTGAATCTAATATTTAAAAGCCTAGAATTTTGCTTTTTCTTTGTGTCACTCGCTTATTGAGAAAAGAATTCGAACGTATTAAAATATAAAAAATTTTATATATACTAGTACGATTTTTTTTTTCCTTTTTAACGTATGTACTATCTGAATTTTGCTCAATTTTTGTAGGATATATAGTAAAGTAGTACGATACGGAAACGCAAATTAGGACGGACGTGTAGAAATCAAGATAATACGTACGGTTTGTAAAAGCAAACTTCGTCAAGTCCATGTTACTTTTACTAATTACCCCAACATGAAAAACAGGACAAAACTAGCGCTCACCCTAACCCTCTAACCTTAAAAATGGTTACTTATAAAAATTGAATTTTATAAGTCTATATTAGCCGTACGTACTATTAAAATTTAGTATACTTTTCGTATGTCCGTCCGAATTTGTGCTAGCGTACAGTACTACTTTACTGAATACCTCAGCAAAAGTCACACATCACTAATCAGTAATTGTATGTTTCAGATCAAACCTGATAATCTTAATTATGTACATGTAAGATTAAATTTTGTCTAATTATTTATAAAATGCGATCCTTGAATAAGGTTAAATTTAAATTGAATTGTTTTTTTCTTTTTTTTTTTGTTACAAAAAAAAGTACATTAATAATTTCATAAAAAAAATATATAATTTTTTACAATGTCTTTAAAAATATATAAAGATTATTTTTTACAAATTATTTTCCGATAAGAGCAGCTGCGTCAGACCATAATATAGATGGATCATAAATACTTTGATCATTATAATATAATCTGAACTTAGCTGGGGTAAATAAAAATTCTAATAATTGATCGGGTTGTGTTTTACTGTAAACTTCAGTATAAGGAAATGTAATGAATGCAGCTAAAGGAAAGGGATTAGGTATCAAAGTATTGTTCAATGAACTTATCTTAAATATGGCCGACGAATCGCTAAAAAACCCACCAGGGAAAGAAGAATATGATAATGATGTGTTCACAAACCCGCCAACCGCTACAGAAGTTACATTATTATTTTCTACAGCATGTTTCGCAATGAGTGCGCATGCAGATCCACATATACCATTTGTTAAAATAATAAGGTCATTAGATGTCCAGGGAATTGGGGTTCTTAAATATTGTGCTATAAAACTAGAAAGTAAACTTAAAATATTTGGAACAAATTTATTCGAATAATAGCTCGTAACATTCCCACGTGTGTAAGAATTATTGCCAATAAAATCATCAATCTTATTATTTTCATACTTGATATTGGTACTTGGGGAGGCAGTTTCATTAATATTAAATAAATTTCCACTTTTTAGTCCAAGTTTAATTGATTCAGTGACTCTTAAATCATAAGCAAAAAAAGGATTTGCGTTTGGGAATAAAATCAAGTTGATAAATGCACTAACTGCGATTGAACCACCAAAGTTATTCGATAAATCAATAACGACCTTTAATTAATAAATATTAGTAAATAATATGAGAATATCAAAGAATAAACGATTCAAATAATATGGTAATAAATTATTCAAAGATAGTATTCAAAGATGACTTACTTTCTTAACGCCAGTATTAACAAGATCTTCAAATCCTTTAATTGTATTTATGGCCACAGTGTCATTAAAAGTGACTTGTTCAGTAAATATTTTAATAACACCAAAATCATCTTTTTTGTAAAAGCTAATAAAATCTTGGACAACGCTAATTAAAGTTACATCTGTAGGTTGCCAAGTATAATGATCACCCTTATATTCTTCAGTAACATCTAAAATCTTATTATCACGTTTTAGTAATTTTTTTGTTTCATGAAATCCTCTTTGGTATAGTGACAATAATGTTCGATTTGTTGTGGTGATTTTACAACGATTATTAAAAAAGGTTTTCGAATTATTAAATTCATTTAAAATTTCAGGAAGACTCATGGCTATCCAAATTCTATTAACTTCCCTTACGCTATTACTACAATTGAGCCTATATGTAATGTTTGAAGTTGGTGGTAAATCAATTCGATAGGAAAAAGAGTTTTCAACATCGACAAGATCAAGAGCCGAATTAAATCGCACACCAATATCTCTTGAAATAAAAACAAAATCTCGTGCGAATTCGTAAATCACTTGAAATGCCTGAAGCCCATCAATATGAGTTACTTCGCAATTATTATTAGAGGGATCTATAGTGTCATTACGGACTTTAATTATCTAAAATTATTTAAATTATTTGATTATTATAATGACTATAAATACAATTAAATACATTATACTGCAGTAACCAATTTGAGCTATTACATAAATCGTAAATTACCTGAGTACCATTTGCTCCAATAACAGAATATAAAGTAAAATTCGAAAAGAAAGCGAATGTTGTGAAACAATCTGTCTTAAAATTTGTGTGTGCATCTTTTAATTGAGAGGTTACATTCCTAACGTCGGTCTATATACCATATCATAGATAATATTATTAATTATAAAGATAAAATTGAAAGTTAAGAAATTTAAAGGCATATGAACTACCATAAATTGAAATAAAGATCCGTAAGTATTATTTAATAAACGTGTCAATTCCAATGTTATATTCAATGAACTATAATTAAACCCATTCGGCGGTGTATCCTTTGCTATATCGAGAAAAGAATAGAATCCGTTAAAAATTCCATTTATTGTTTCGATCGTCTGCAATTTTAGAAACATGTAAGTACAACTTATTAATAGACGCATATTTTACTTTTGTAAATTACGAACTATATACCTGATTTGCAATATCTCTATCAAATGGAATACTCTTGTAACAGTTACTAACGTCTGTATAATTGAAAATTCTTGCTTTTTTTGTGTTATAATCATTATAAATATTTGCGCATCCGTCATTAGACTGAGAAGCTCCGATTGATATGAAAATAAGAATATATAATGCTGTGTATAATTTCATCTTCTATATGTAGTCAAGATGAAATTTTATATTTTAAAAACATGCGCATCAAAGTTAATTTTTCCTGACTGATGACATTGCCATGCTTGCCTAAATAATCATGTCTATCCTTTTATAAACATTCTGAGTTACTCCAGAATCATATTACACAAGTTTAAACTATCTTCCTAATAAATCATTTTTCTTTGGCATAATAAACATGTTCACTGATTGTTGGTTTTTTTTCTATATATATAAAACATTAGTTTTAGGCACTTTGCTTCTAATTTTAAACGACTATTTGCTTGCAAACAAATTGCAGATAATATGCATATTAAGTTAGGAATGTTCTTAAATAGAATACTTTGCAAATGAATGTTCAGAATTGTTCTATGATCTCCGCGCCAAATTTCCACATTAAATCGTTTCACAACTTTGTACACTCACACTTCAATGAACGCCTCAAGTTTATAATTACTTTTATATACTATATATTCAAAAGTGAACCAATTAAATTTCAATTTAATTCGGTATCTAAGTCAACTCTAATCAAACAACTACCCCAAGAGCACCTCATTATTTGACTATAATGATTAAATCGTTTTAAATCGTTATATCGAAATATTGATTATTAATAATAATTTACTAAAGTATTTTAGCATTTTCATCATTGTTTATAAGGATATCGTTAATAACTTGTTAAGTGCAAAAAAGTCGGAAAGTCTACCCTTAAGTAGTTTCCAATTTAAAACTTACGATGTTTGTCATTATAACTTCTTTTACAGTGTAAACAGTCTAAAAAATGTCTAAAAAGTTTTTTAAGAAAATTTTAGTGCTAAATAAGAATGAACATTTAGAGAATGATTCAGTGGATATAGACTTTTAATTCGAACTTTTTTGATTAATACATTCAAAAAAAAAATAATCCAAGACTGTATTCAATGATTTAACAGATCTAACAAATACTGAATCGTTTAAACTTGTAAATTCTGAATCGTTTTAACTTGCAAATTAAATAAATACTGATAACAAAACAAAGCGGCTATTCAAATTTATAAATTAATTTAAAATGAAGCATTAAGAATCATGGATGACTAAGAAAATGTTTGCAATAATCGATAGGCACAAGTGGCTCTAGGTTTGCAATATTTAAATGTTTTTCGAATATGCAATATTGTTGCTTGCAATCTGAAGAACCAAAAAAACGTATACTTAAAGTTTAAGTTCTACTTTTAAGTAATGTTAACGCTAAAGTTATATATACTCATTAAAAAAAAAAAAGTATTTCGAAACAGGGATTATTTTTCATTGTGCGGACAGATGTGCGAATGTCGCATAAGTAGTGCGCACACTTGTGAAGTTTTTTATTTGCCGCACAGAAAAATTTCCGTGTATGCTAAGTAAATTTTAATTGAAAATTAACACTGTTTCGAACTATTATTTAAAAATAATAAGAACGAAAATATATCGTATCGGAGCTAAGCATATTGATCACGTGATTTTCGCAGAATTTTTAGAGGTTTCTTGGGTGGTCAAAAAACAACGCCATGGCCGGAGAGTCTACGGACACGTATCGATCACATGACATTTTACCTCACGGACTCATAGGCGGACATTCGTATGATTGGCTGATGTAAATCAATTGCCCGGGTAACTTATTTATACACTTTAAAGTAC